ACGCGCGGGAGAAGCCTAGTTACGAGGGCGCGGCTGCTGGCGTTCGCAGTCCGTTCCACGTGCCTTCAGTTCCCCGGGATTGATCGGGTGCCAATGTTCATTACTGAAGGAGCCGATTTTTAGTTTTTCTAGGAGTCTCGTTAGTCGTGACCACAATGAAAAACGTAGACAAGGACGATCTCGTGACGGGCACCCTTCCCAGGCTCAAGAGCCCCAGAGAATGGTCGGAGCCACAGTGGCTTGCTTTTATGGAGGTACCGTTGGCATTTGGAGGATCTTTCTTGCGTGGTTTCAGCGAGGAGCTCGTGCTGTTATTTTTTCCTATAGTTTCTACTTTATTCCCTTTATATTTTGCTTTTCATTTTTTAGTTTAAGGTGCAAACAGAGGTCATTGATTATATACATATTATTATATTAGAAAAATCTAATAAAGCTATCGGTTTCTCTTAAGCACTGCTTTAGTTGCGCTGCCCAATTTTTGATTCGCTGTATTGTGATTTTTTCTAAACAGCTTTATTAGGTTATAACTGATGTATGGTAAACTACATATATTTAGTGTACAATTGGATACGTTTTGACACATGTATATGCACATAAAACCATAACCACAAATAATGAACATCTATTCAGTATTCTGTTTCCTTTGTAGCCCACGCCCCTTTATCTCATACAGTCACTTTTTTTTTATAGCAAAACATTTATTTGTACTTTTTGTTGTTCTTGTTGAATTTTTTTCAGCTTTGCATTTTCTTGTTACTGGTACATTTCAGACGTACATAATGATAACACTCAGGTCTTTTTGATCACTATAGTTTGCATTGAAATTTTAAAAAATAAATGGAATCTTACATTCTTTTTGGGCTCTGGTTTCTTTCACTCAATTATTTTGCATTTCATCCATGTTGCATGTGTTAATATTTCATTCTTACTGAATGTTATCCCATTAAATGAGTATATCTCAATTTGACCATCCTATTGATGGACATTTGGGTTGTTTCCAGTTTTGGGTTATTATAAATAAACCTTTTATGAACATTGATGTACACGTCATTGGATTTTTTTTTTTTTTTTTTTT